GCTTTGGAATTTTAGCTTTATGTCTCTCCAGGGACGACTGAGGCCTTTTAAGTCTGATGTTGTGAAAGATGATTTCCTGGTGACCATGAGACTTCCAAGGGGCTGCTCCGAAGAACGTGCAGGGTACCACAGCTGGGGGTCACCCACGAGACATGGGGTGAGGAGGAGAAGGAAGCAGGTAGTTGAAAAGGTAATGCCCAGAACAGCCTCATGAGCAGGGGCTTGTGGGAGATGGAGGCAGGGACAGGAAGCAGGAACCTCTCTGAGAACTTAACTCAGAGAAGAAGCTCAACCCATCACGTATTTTAACACGTGCATTTAACAGGTGGGAAGGGCTCGGGGAAAGGCAGGCTCATGTAGATGTGAGTGAAGACAGCGTTTCTAACCACTGCCTGACTTCAGTGACTAAACCGAGCCTGTTCCCTGCTGCTGATAAAGAGTGAGGAGCGGGGAGAAAGGAGCCAGTTATTGTTGGGCCAGGGAGCTAGAAGAGGCTGGGAATTCGGTCCAGGGAGAGGTGAGCTCAGCCAGCATCATGCTTTAGACCCGCCCTTATGCAGAGCTAGAACCGAGGCGCTCGGACTGCCAGGAGCAAATGGCAGGGCTGTGGCAAGAATAGGTCACCCCCACTGTCCCTCCTCCCTACCATATAAAACACCAGGATATCCCTCCCTCTAGTCTTGGGAAATGCAGGGGACGACGCAGGGAAGCTCTGAGCTCTGTGGATCATAGGGAGGGCACAGGCACGGGGGCACGGTGGTGTGTGAAGACCTCACTCCTGGTTGACAGCACATCCTCCCGGCTTCCCTGAGAAGGAGAGCCGGCCGCCTGTGTGGCTGGTGGATGGGCATCAGGTGGTAGGAGTACGTGACCAAGACCAGCAGAAGGAACACAAAGGGCCTCCGGTAAGGGACACGCGTACTAATCAGAGAGGAATTTAAAGAACCTAGGGAAGGATAAAGTCATCAGATCTTGGTCCAGATGCTTTAGAAGGGACTTAGCAAGGGAGTAAACCTGGAGAAGCTCAGCATGCTGTGCTGGGGCCCTTGGGTTGTGGCAGCATCCGTGTCCCCGGGCAAATGCTCAGGACCCCTCCCTATTCAGGACCCAGGCCAATCGTGGGCAACATGGAAGGAGACCCAATCAGAGAGGCATTCCAAACACCACATTCTTAGAGCCCCTGGAGCCAGGGCCGTGCAAAGCAGCACTGACCTGCCTCCTTGAATTAGGGAAAGGAAGAAGGCCTTAGGCGGCATAAATTCTATCCCAGGGCAGGACCCCAGGAGACCCACAGATGCAGTGTGTGTGTGTAGGGGGAGGCGGGGGGGGGGGGCTACTTGCAGCCATCAGGGACATAAATGTCCTCAACAAGACCCTCCCCCTCAGCCCAGTGAGCTGGCTGCCACCCACAGCCATCCCAAAATGTACTCAGACTTTCTAGTAACCATTTACTCACCCAACTGGTGGGTGTTGTAATTCATGCCAAGAGAGTACACAGACATGAATTTCTCATATCGACTCTCTACATAAATGTTAAGACAAACCAAGGCACTGGCTCTGTCAATTTTTATACAATGCTCACAAAATAGCACTAACTTCCTGAGCACAAAAGATAGGGCTTGCCTGAATCTTTCAGGGGATACAAAGGCATTTCTGTAAAGCTGTGACCAGGCATGAGACTAAGGAGGACCTTTACAGGTCCTCAAGCAGAAGGGAGGCTGGCTAGCTTTAGAGTTAGGAGACTGGGTGTCGCTGAAACAACCACCATCGTCTCGGCGCCTGCTCTGTGGAGGCCCTGAGCCGGTGGGCACCTTGATTTGGGGAGGGGTGTAAGAAGGGTGATGGCTGATGGGCACAAAGAGGGTAAGAAGTCAACCCCTTGTCCTCAAAGATCTGAGCAGGGAGAAGGTAAGGTGGGACCCATAACCTCAAAACCCAGTGCAGCATCATTTCAAAGCACCATGTGCCACAGGTGTTGAAAGAGGTCAGACCTGGGGCAGAGAAATCAGGAAAGCTTCGTGTTCGGTAGGCCTGGAAGGTGGGGGAATGATTGACAAAGCCCCATGTGCCTATTTACTTTATGACCTTGTTTCAAGGTCAAATCACAAGCCTGAGATTCTATTTCATCTGCCAAGTCGGGATTGATGTCTCCTTCCCACTTTCAGTTCCTTGGAAAAGCAGGTCTCAGTGAAAAGCCGAGTACTATTATTACCCTCAGGCAGAATGCCAAGAACAGAGCTCTGAGGTCTTCTGCCCCCAGCTCGGAGCCCAGCCTGAGCATGCACAGTGGACGGCGCTGGCCAAGTGCAGTCCCAGCCAATCCCCAGAGCGCTGGTGGGAATGTGTTTAATGGGAAGGCACTAGCTTTGAGCGAGCCCCGAGAATACCCATCATAAAGCCATGGTGAAGCCGGCACTCTGCAGAGCCCCGCACCTGACCTCCACGGGGTGCACCTGACCTCCACAGGGCACGCCAGGGGGTATCTGGGGATGCAACAAAATTCGATCAGAGATGGAGGCGCCTTCTCAAAATCCTAATTTTCTTTCAAGGCCAGCCCCAGTTTGACCTCAATCCAAGCCTTCTCATTGCCACCCAGACCTGGATTGACCATGGCTTCTGCATCGCTCCACCTGTGTTCCCCCAGCCTGCCTGTGTTCCCGTTGTTATGTACTTGCTGGCTCCCCCCTGTAAGCCCTGAGCCCGCTCTGTGCAGGTGCCCAGCACAGCACCTTACACTTACCAAGTGGCCACTAAATGTTGCTTGGTTAAAGATGACAAGCTTTCTCTTCACCAGGCAACCAGAAGACCTTTCTGAAATTTTGTGAAACTTTCAAAGAGTGCTTTGAAATTCCAGGAAAGATATTTTGGAACTGGACAGTGTCCCCACCCCAGCAGCAGGGACAAGTTTCCTTTGGGGCTGTGAGAACTGGATGGCGGCCCTCAGTCCAGCACCATAGGGAAGAGTTGAGGGCCTGTTCTTCAGGCAGCGCCAAGACATTTCAGGAGCCCAGAGGTGATTTGATTTTCATTCTGCCGTTGCGACCCCAACTCAGCCGTCCTCACCCTGTGTTGCAGCCCCGTCCTCCATCGTCACCTGCCCTCTCCCTCAGACCCAGCACGGTGGCGGCGTGAGAAAAGTGCCCTGTAGGACCTGGCCCTTCATCCTGGGGCAATTCAAACGTAGAATATAAAAAGCCCACACCACACATACCGACGGCTGCGTTTGGAAAGGTCCTGTGATGGAAATCTAAAACTCAGAACTGAAAGAAAATCTCACCTGTAACCACAAAGAGATTCAGTCTGATTCAGTGGCTTGGAAACTGGTGTTTGAAAACACCCCAGCTGGTGAGCCAGGAAACTTCTGCCCTCCCACAGGCTGTGGGGCCAATTGTCTCGCTCAAACCCACTCTGGGTGGAGAGGATATAAAACCCCAGGAAAGGGTATTCCCCTCTCCCCCCCCCCCGCGACAACCCCTCAGGTCACCTGAATATTTATTTCCAGGGAGAAAAAGTGGGTAGACCACACTGACAAAACGAAGGGGTCTTCTTGAACCTCCCCAGCATGCCTGTGGGTGACTCCGCTGTCACCTGTCAATCTCCTTTACCCAACCTTAGCTTTCACCAAGGCAGGCTTTGATCACCCTCCCTCCACTGCACCCACCTGGCTTTCTATTTGTTTCTTCCTTTACTAAATAAATGCCCTTGGGATGGTGCTAAGGAATGGTTAGCCAGAGCAAGCCTGGAACCTGGCCAAGAACCAACTCGAGATACAAACACATGATCCATCAGAAGAGCAAGGCTTTGTAGTTTCAGACCCAAGTCACCTACTCAGTCTGAGCCTGTTTCCTCATCCGTAAAACCAGAACTCCCCCCTCAGGGCTGTGGTCAAGAGGGAATGAGGCACTGGCGGGGTAGTTCAGTTGATTAGAGTGTCATCCCCATACACCAAGGTTTCGGGTTCGATCTCCAGTCAAGGCACACACAAGAAATAACCAATGGATACATAAATAAGTGGAACAACAAATCAATGTTTCTCTCTCTCTCCTTTTTGCTCTCACTATCATCTGTACAGTGCATGGCCCACAGCAGACATTCAGTTAGTATTTGCTGAATGGGCCCATCCCCCCCGCCCCCCCCCCCCATATTTCTTCCCCAGGCCAGCTACCCTACACAATTTCCCTAGCCCCAAGGTCTTTCCTTAAAAATAGACTCCTAATGTAATAACTTAGGTGCTCTCCTCGGAAATCTGCCCCACAGGTAACCACAGGGGTTCCAATGCCGCCGTCAGCGGGAGTGGAGGAGCAACATGGCAGGTCAGAAAGAGCGTTGTGCTGAGAATCCAAAGCTCTTACTTAGGCCACATTTTTGGTCCTTTATGTATTTTAAATCCACCACACAGGACAATTTCTAAGCTAGATCCCAGCAATGGCCCCTGAGATAGCCTCTGACTGGGGAAAGCTCTCTTCAATTCTAAATAGTTTGAACATTAACTCTGTTGGAATCAGTTGGTCAACCATCGTCCTGCAGAAGAAAGCAGCCTTTGACACAGCTATTCCTCCACCACACCACCCTTCCCCATTAGCTGCCCCTCAAAGCAATGTTCCCACTGCCCAAGGCCAGGCTGGGAGGGGAAGTTCTGTCTGAACTGACTTCAAAAATTACTTCCTCCTTAGCTGCCTTGAATGGGAGAGTCCACAGCCGCCAGGATGACTAATTAATAGCATTGGCTCATGTTTGCTGAATCCTTACTGTGTCCCAGGTTCTATGTGTGCCTTATACACATTCTATCATCATGGTGAATCTTCACCACAATTCTATGAGATAAAGAATATTGTTGCCCCATTTCACAGACAAAGAAACTAAGGCTTACTGGCATTAGGGGACTTTCCCAAGGTCACACAGCTCTTAGTGGCACTGGGATGCAGAATCAAGTCTGCCACCAGGCCCAGCAAAAGCTACTAGGCTCTGCAGAGCTAGAAGGAACCCAATACTGAACTCACCTGATAGGAAAGGCCATCCTTTCGGGGGTTGAGGCCAATCTCCTCCATGGATGGGGTGCTCATCATCACCTCAGTCATCTCGGCCGATCTCAGATAGTCAGGGCTGCCAAGAAACCCAGACCAAAAGTCAACAAACACACACTTTCACATTCCTCCTCTTGGTGCACTCTGCTGCTAGATCAAGGGAGTGTCTGGAGGCAGGATGAGAGGTGTTCAAAACAAAACTCACAGAAAAACAAGCTCACACCCCGAGGAAGTGCCTACAAGGCCAGAGCATGGGGCTCTCAACCTTGATCAACAAAGCCCATTGTCTGAAAACCTCTCTGGCAAACCTCCTCTTCCCTCCTCTCCTGTACTAACTAGTCTCCACTGGCTCAGAGGGACTGGGTTTTCTTTTAAGTGACAGAACTAGAAAAAAACAAAACAGTAGGTAGCTGAGCACATCGGTCTATATGAAAACCAACTCAACCCTTCTCCTGGGGAAAGGCATATTAGAGTTACATAATAATAACAGGTCAACCTCAGGGAAACCAAGTCCAATAATACTGCCTTCCTAAATCTCTCTCTGGTGTTGCTTTTTTTTTTTCCCCAAAAAAATGTTCCACTTAAAGCCCCAAGGGGTCAGCTTTCTGCAAGCTTCACATCTGCCATCCAACCCCCTTCTCTAGCCACAGCCACAGCAGCTGCAAACTCACAGCTTGAAAAACATCCCTGAATTTTTTTTTAAAGCCTTAAGGATGCCCGGACTCTGATCGCAAAGGAAATTTCCAGAGGGGCCAAGCTGGCCCACCAATGGCAGACATGTAAAGTGCTTTGTACTCTGTAAGCAGGATACAAACATTCCATTATCCTCACACAAGCCACGGGCACACACAGGGGCCCGAAAGCAGAGTGCCAAATGGTACCAAAGTCAATGTATTCACTACACAATACCCAATATTTTCATGCCTTTACACATGGTTTTAAAAAAATTAAAAATGGAACGGGCTGTAGAGAGATTCTGTCTAAGGAAACAGGGGGTACCAGACGCTTCTGCATTTTATGGATACCATAGAATAGCAATGACATTGGATTTGAGAACAGACACAGTAGGTTCTGGTCCAGTCTCTGCCACTCAAAAGCTGTGTGATCTTGAACAAGTCATATGACTTCTCTGAGCCACAGGTGCCCTGTGTGTCTGTTACCAAGATGCTAATAATGCATATCTCACAGTTATGCTGAAGAGTTCATCTGGGTTGGGGGTGGGAAGCGCTCATCAACTATAAAATAACCCCAAATCTTCATGTCTCCGGGGATAATAACTCCGATGAGCTCTAAGGGGTTAGAGCCTTGGCAAGTTTTAGTGGCCACGGGCACAAAGCCTCCAATAGCCTTCAGTCTCACCCATATGGCACCTGGCTGCTGACACCCACGGAGGTGGTAGGGAAGGGGAGCCCCGAAGGAGAGGGGTCTAAGAGAAGATGCTGGGATTTGGGGCAAGTTTTGGGTCAGGAGCGGGAACTGCAAAGGCATTTTCCTCCTGGGTCATGGAAAGACTGCCGCCGGACACCCCCCCCCCCCCCCCCCACCCTGGGTGTAAAGAACTCAGAAGAGGGAGAGCGCACAGGGCTCTCTCCAGGCTCTTCGTCTGGCATAGGGGCGCTCGCTCCTCGCGCGCCGGCCGGGAAAGTTGAAGTCAGAAGCATGAACTTTCTGGAGGTGCCTGGGCTGAGCAGGAACGCCCAGAGCTGGTCTGCCTGGCCGGGCTCTCTGCGCCTGCACCTGAGAGCGCGCTCCGCAGCCGCCAGCGCTCGCACCCCGGCCGCTCCTCCTCTTCCCCGGAGCAGGAAGGAAGGAAGCAGCAGCCGGCGCAAGTCCCAGCGGCCTGGGGCCTCGCTCCGCAATGTGCGCATCCCTTCCAGCCCAATCCCAGGTCGAGTGCAAACCTCCGCTGCCCCCTGCCCGGCCCTGGCTCCTTCTAGCCGGGCCGGGGCGGGCGCCTCCTCCCCAGCCCGAGCCCCCACAAAAGCGCGTCGGTTTTTAAGGGCTATGGAGAGGGAAGGGGTCGGGAAGGTGCAGCGTGCGCTCGAGCTGCTGCTTGGGGCTTCA